TAAGTTATGATTCTCCTGACATTCATTTCTATCTGCCTGCTGCTTCTCAGTAATTCAGGATACGACAAAACTGGACAAGGCTTAAAACATAAAGCAACTTAACAAGTTATAATTCAAATGGGCCATAACTTTTCAATAAATCAATGTTTATGAGAAATGTTATTAAGAGCAGCTCCTCATCAAACTTTTGTATTTAAAACCTGAAATGTTCGTAAAGGTGTAGCAGAGATTAGATCAGTCAGACTGAACAAAACTCGTATCGAAGCAACATTTGAATTTTAGTTTTATTTCTCAATAATTTGCTTACTGAGAATAAAACATGTTTGATGTGCATCATTAGTCATTTTTGGTCCTAAAGCTTGAATGTGATTTAAAAACTTTTTAAATCACATTTTCCGTTACATTTCAATGGAACTTCTCCAATCCCCCAAAATCGGTGGTAAGAAATGTTCCTGTTTCTGGTCCCCAATAACGAGATGGGATCAGTCTGTGGCCTATACAAAACATGCTAGTTACATTTTCTGCTCAAAATACTTCAGAATGTGTCGCTTTAATGTCTCTGTCGCTTTAAATCCAAACAATTACTAAATTAGTGAATGATTATATCAATAATCAATTCATCTAATTAGCCTAATTAATATTCCAATTTATCAATACCGTCTGTAGATGAGGAGGACTTGTCTGTTAAATGTTCATTTAACAGGTGGATTCTTACTTTTTTAACTTAGTTTGAACTAAATTAACATGGTGTATTTAATTAAATTAAAGACTTTATTTCCAAAGTCACTGAGAATCGATTATGGAATTGGTACCGATAAATTCTCATCAGTAAAGATTTAATGTGATAAAGAGCCTCTCAGAAGATCTCACCTTCTGAGATCTTCTGCAGCCTGGAGAGCATCTGGGCCAGTTTCTGCTGGCGCTCGGCCAGTTCCCCGCGGCCGGAGAAATCCACCCTGAACAGAGCCATGATGGAGTCGATGACCTGAAGAGGAAGAGTGGCGCAGTGAACGCAGGATCCTGTCCAACATTTACGTCTGCAAACTTCACAACACAAATGAAATATTATTACTGTTTTTAATATTCTACATTACACAGCACGGACCAGAAAAACTAAAATATAAAATGTATTGTTTTAAAAATCTCATTAATGGCTCGATAACAAAACATTAATTTAACCACAAAAAAATCCCCAATTTCAGTAACATTTAAAGTATAAAATATGAGTCAACGTTTATTTCAATTACACGGATCACTGAGTGACTGAGTCATCAGAAATAATAAATATTCAAAAATCAAATAAAAAAATGTTCTCTCTATGTTTTCTGGTATTTAGCAAATATAAATTATTTTCATGATTCTAACTAAAATAAAACCAGAAAAGTTAAATCTGATTTAACTTCAGAGAGTGAAAAAAATACCTTCTGTGTGAAAATTTTTGGTTTCAAATGTAAATAATGTTTTCCTAATTAAGGTGGAATCAAACATTTAATTGCGCTTTATTACAAAACTCTGCGGTTAGAATATCAAGGACTTTCCAAACCTTGAAATCACCTCTGAGTGTTTCAGGATGAAAAAGGTCAAACAATCGATGATTACCTTCCTAACGCAGCAGGAAATCAGTCAGAGGTTTGTGGCTCACCAGCAGCTTGAACACGCCACCTTCTTCATGAAACTTTGCTGCTACGAAGTCCAGCAGCTCCATCTGGTGTTCACCTGCAGGAACAGCAGCCGTTTGAGCGACAGGAAGTCACAACAAGGCTTCAGGAAGTGAACGCTGAGCAGGTCGTACTGGTGTAGGCACGGGCGTAAAGCACGTTGTCCAGCACGGCGTCATGATCCACGTTGAACCGGTCCGCGATATCCCGCAGCCGGTCTGGGCGGCTGCGAGGAGGTCAAAGGTCACAACAAACAGAAGAACAGCCTTCGAGCTGATTTCAAAATGTTCCAGATTAATTTTTTTATCTCTTATTCTGGGCGTCTGAGTCAAACTGACAGGAAGAATCAAGTAAATAAGAACAGAAAAAATTAAGGATACAAGGAAAAAAGAAGAGGAAGATGCAACACAAAAAGAAGCAAAGAAAAAGGAAACAGGAGAAATAGAAGGAAGAAGGAAAGGAAAGAAGGAAGGATAAAGTCGCTCCAAGGATACAAGGTATTCTCTGTATCGATGAAGATTACTTTTCCACCGGAGTATCCGTCTTCTCCTGGGAGCTGGGCCGTGACTGGAGGCACAAAACACGTGTCACGTAACAAAACAGTCACAACATATTCAAATAGTCATACATTAAAATATCGTCATAATAAATCATAGTGGCTCACCACAGAGTGTGTGGGAAAGCTGCGTTTTTCCCGTCCGAAACTCTGAGGAAAATCGGATCATTAAATAAAAACATCTTTTAGTTTATTACATAACAAATTAAGAAGCAACATATCTTCTCACCTCCGAAGGCCTCAGTGATGGCCATGCTCTCTATCCCTCCACCCAGCAGCTTACTGCACACACACACACACACACACACACACACACACACACACACACACACACACACACACACCACACACACACACACACATAAGTGAACCCAGATAAAACACGCAGCAGCTAAACTTTGCGATCTTAACTCAAACTCCTGGCTGCCTGTCGTCACATGGAAAACCTGCTTCCTCCTGGCGCTGTATTCGAAGGCCGTCTGGAATCCAACGTTCTGCTCAGGAGAACCAAAACGACTCAGAGCTAAACTCCTGTCCACTTCTGCATAACAGAGCGACAGGATGGCATCTAACCAGCATCTTTCCTGCAGCCTCCTTGATTTTCTCCACCTTGGCCTCCGACAGGCCCTTGATGTTGCACAGAGCTTTGCGCGTCGTCATCTGGATCCCTTTAACAGTGCAGATTCCTACCGACTTCAGCTTCTTAATGTCCGCCATGTTCTGGACAAAACCCCAAAATAATACACTCTGTCTCTTTACAACCACAAAATTCACAGCATTTATTAGGATTTGATGCAATAAACACAAAACAGGTCAAAGCTGAGAAGAGGAGAAAATAACCGTCGTTTTGGGAATTTATCAGTTTTTAAATTTGAGACTCATTCAGAGAGCATCTGTGATAGGCATTTATCATTTATTGTGACACAATGTCTTGTAAGAATTTAGATTTTTCTCTGACACAATAAATTCCAGATAATGAAGTTAAATTTTTTTTAAATATATCCACATTGTTAGGATTATTATTATCATGTGACTGAAATGTTTTCCAAAAGCAGTTTGTGATGTGACACAATCTGAGCCACACAGCTTCCTAATTAACCAGTTATTATCATCACATTTATCATTATCACAATATTAACACAAAATATTGAGATAAAGATTATCAGTAGGTCTTAGGACTGGACTTTGACTAGGCCATTCTGAGACATGAATCTGATTTGATATACACAATTTTGTGTTAGTCTGTCACATAAAATTTAGTTTGTGCTCATAACGTTAAAAACTCCATTTTCCAGGTGAGCTTATGATATTTTACTCACGATCCCATGTTTCTGCAGGAGGTCAATGTCTTGAAAAAACGACTCCTGTTCGATTAAGAAGAAATCATCATATTAAACCACAAAAACAGACAGAAATCACTTCTAAATTATTCCATCACATTATTTATTAATACCTACTTTATTAGGAAAAGGTCAACATTAGCTATTCATCTTACCTCGTCATCCTGGAAGCCTGTATCAGCATCAACAACTTGATCCTCAGCAACTTTCATTTTCAATTCAGTGAAGCTTAGAAATGAAATATAAAGTTTTCAGTTTTATTACTTATAGGAGATTTTAGCCGAAAAGCAGAGCAGCTAGCTAACCGGAAGCTAGCTAACCGGACGCTAGCTAACCGTGTCTAAATCGATTCACAAAATACCACTGAAAAATAAACTAAGGCAATTGGAATTAGTTGGTTCTGAATATGTTAGCAAAAGAATAATTCAGTAACGGATAAAATATATAAAACAAACCCTGTCCAAAAATGAAACTATGGCCTTTTGTTTCCTCTGACGGCCAGCGTCTCCCACTGGCGGGAAATTAGGACCTGCGATGTATTCAAGTACTAGCGGAAATTTGGATTGTCTTAGACCAATCAACGCATATCTGATTAAACACTCCCTCATAAAGTTTAATCAGCTGTTGCTGTTTTTTACAGAAAGAACCAAAAGTAAAGTTAAAGTCCATACTGTCGCGTATGCATTAACAGAGAATCTGGTTTGAGAAACTGACAAGACACGGACAGATTATTCCCCTTGACTCCCTCCTGAACGAGGAATAGAAAGGCATTTGAACGCAACATTATGTGCTAATTTAACCTCGTCATCCTGGACGAGGCAATCGACTTAATCGATTCGTTGTTATAAAAAGAAAAAAATAGATTGTGAAAACTATCTATAAAAACAAGAAAGAAAAACTTTTCGTTTTCTCTTGTTCATATATTAAATATCTTTAGTGAGACCAAAAGAGAAAAAGTCTAATTTCTTGCTGATTCTGATATGAGAAAAAAATGGCTCCATTTCACGTGTAATTATTAATTCTGATAAAGCTTTAGTTTTAAGTCATTCTAGTTTCTTTTTTAAGACAAACAAGCCTGAATAAACGTAATAAACACTTATGACTTTTTGTTAAGTTTTGTAATATAAACATGCAGTAACAGAAAGAAGTCATTCTGATCAATCTAGGTTTAACTTTCTAATTTAACTGGATTTATTAAGTGCAATTAGTAGCAAAGTTTTGCAGTTAATAGCGTGAATATATTTAAAGATTATTTCTCCAGGAATAAATAAGCTTTATTGCCTTAAAGGAGGAAACTTCATCATCTCAAATCTTACCAGCTTCATTGCATATGTTCATGTTTTCCACACCATGATGCTGCCACCGCTGTGTCTTACAGTGGAGATGGTAGAGTATTTTCTTCTCAGGTTTACCTGAGCAGGTGATCAAATCCCCAACAGTCATTAAAAGTATTTCAATGGGTTTTAATTGTTGCAGTCAAAAAAGAAGTGACACGTGTTTAAGCATAAGACTTTCTCCTTAAATGGCAACAAGAAAAAAAAAAAAGAATTTTACATAGAAACAATGAAAAAACCCCAAAACAAACATGGTGGCATCATTTATACCGACGTGACACTTCTATTTACCAGGACAGAACCTCTAAAAACAGAAACACTGATCAGACTTCAAACAACATCCACATCTTTCCTAACTCTGAACAACAAACATTTGCTCTCAGTATTTCTTTAAAAAAAACAAACGAGATGACAGAAGCTAGCTGCTCCTGGATTTCAGTCTCTGCATGATGTTGAGCACAAGGAGAGAGGCCAATCAGAGCGCTGTTGCTGGGCAGATTTCAACAGATTCCTCCTGCCTCACACCTTGCCAGGTGCAGCAGGCATCATGCCAGGCATCCCGCCCGACATCGCAGTGTTGGGTCCTAACAGGATCTACAAAAAATAAAACATCTTTTCAGATTGTTGCTCAGTTAAAAGTCAAAACGATTTTTTTTAATTTTTTTTTAGGAAAAACAGAAAGTAAATTAATTTTGTTTTATTTCCTCAGGAATTATGTTGTCATACTTAAAGAGCCTCGTTTTATTTTTTTTGTAGGCTTTTAAATAAATAAAAAAAAACTTTTGCCGGAAAGAGGAAACATACATTTACTTTTCTGGGATGTTGAAAATGATGGCAAACAGAAAATTTAAAAAGGCATAAACTGTCTAATTTAATGACAGAAAAACAAAATGGATGGTATTTCAGTGTCATTATGTCACAGAATATCTGTTCATTATATGAATCAACATTTGTCATCTTATCTGTAGCATCTGATGGTTAAATGATTTATTAAAACTATCAGTATCATCAACCAATGTAAGATCTAGAAAATAACAAATAATAATTACAATAGTTTTCTCCATTGTTTGTTACTCAATTCAAATCCAAAAATACTTTATTAATCCCAAAGGGAAATTAAATAAATTTAATTAATTACATTATGCTCATTATATAAGCATGTTAACACTATTAACACATCAAAGATTTTTCTACAACATTTCAAATCAATAAAATCTACTTCAGTCGCTGTTACTGACCTGAAGGACTGAAACTAAACTGAGTCACTTCTTATCCTTTTTTTTTCTGCTAATAAAATAAAAGCATGTAGCTGAACAGTAGTAACGATAAACAGAGCTGACTGCACTCATTTGGCCTTTACAGTACCTGTATCTAAAACATCCCCAGAGCCACACATAGAGAACCAGCATTCAGCTTCTATGAACCACAGATCTGGATCCAACTTACAGAAAACTGAAACAATGAGTTCCTGTAAATCTAGACTAAAATCCCACCTGGTTACAGCTGCTTCTGAAACATGAAAAATGAAACACAAACACTTCGATGTGCAACCAATGTACCCGACAAGGTAATATTTCAGCTGATGGCTCAGCTCACTTTGTCTTTTTATAATGTGAAGCACTGAGCTACAGAAATAAGCCTGACTGACAACATTAGCAGATATGATTTTAATTTCCTTTCGGTCCAGAGAGGCGCTGGTGCCTGACCTGTCTCTGCTGCTGCAGCTGCTGCTGCTCCAGCTGAAGCCGCTCCGTCTCAAACACCACCGGCAGCACCAGGATCATGAAGGAGGTCGTCCCCACCCACAGCGCCGAGCGGGAAAAGCTGCAACATCAACAAGCAGGTTAGCTTCTGCTGCAGGAGACGAGCCACTGAAGCTTTTCCCAGCCTCAGATCCTGAAGCCTCAGATCCTGAAGCCTCCATCCGTCATGTAGCAGAAGTTCATGTTTTAAAGGGACCTCTCCAAATGCATTTTCCAAACCACAAAAAACTAAACATTTCACTTTGAGATGCAGTTCTTCACACAAAGAGAAAAATATGTATTTTTTGTGATTACATTCTGATTCAATATCTGTTATCATTCAGAGTTGGGTTGTAACTAGTTACATTTACTTGAATTACCTGATTTGAAAACAATAACTTGTAGGAGTATTTTTACTGTGCTGTAATTTCATTATAAATTGTATTTACTTTTTATTGAAAGAAACTGATTTGTAAAAATTTTCTTTTGCCGATTTTGTTATTATTTTGTTAACACAAAGTAAATATGGCAGGTTGTAGCCAGGAATAATGATTCCTTGTTTGTGTGCAGAAAGAAGGATTAAAACTGATTCTGACATTTAAAACAATCTGAAGGAGCTAAATCCCACCTAACTAGACTACATCTAGTAGTCCACATCTTTCAGAAACAAACTTTTACATTACACGTAAATATTAAGCGTTAAATAACCAATAAGCTAATTTGTGTCCAACATCGGCATCTTTACATATTTGCGCATCATTGTTGTGTTTGTGCTCATGTTTGTACCTGTAAAACTTCTTTAACACTGAGACCGAGCACTGCGCTGAGGCCTCCGCAGCTGTCCTCACTGTGTCCGGGAACATCTCCGTCAGACCCCACAACCTCTCCACCAGGGTCTCATCCAGCTGAAGCAGACACAAAACACCGCTAGTTATCGCGATAAAAGCAACTTCAGACAGATCAGCTTCAACGGGAAGTTCTAGTCAGTTTAAAAGCAGGGGTGTCAACATCCAGTCCTGGAGGGCCGGTGTCCTGCAACTTTTAGATGTGCCTCTGCTGCGCCACACCTGAATAGAATAATTAGGTCATTAGTAGGGCTCTGGAGAGCTGATCTACACAAGGAGGAGGTAATTAAGCCATTTCATTCCTGTGTTTTGTAGTGTGGCACATCTAAAAACTGCAGGACAGTGGCCCTCGAGGACTGGAGTTTGACACCCCTGGTTTAAAGCCTTGATCGGCCTGTTACTGGCAGCGGAACCTGAGGAAAGACTGGAGTTAGCTCACTTATTAGCACAGTCAGGCTAACAGGAAATTACGCTACATCTTTACTCTTGTTAGCGCAGGTAAGATCAATAACTGAGAGGAAATATACTAACATCTTCATCTTCATCGTCGTCTATTTCATCTTCTCGAAGTCGAGCAGACACAGGGTCTGACGCCGGGGACAGTTCTTCCACGGAAGCCATGTTTCCTCTTTAGCTCCCCTGACGGTAGCCCGGCTAACTTCGCTGAAGTTCGGCCAACGATTCTCTGGCAGCCGCGGGACGGTTTTTACTAAATTAGTTTTTCTGATCAATTTCCAGCGTTTTTTATTCAGATCAAAATGAGTCTGAGCACCAACACTCCGAGGTCACAGACCGGAAAACGTGAAACTCGCCAGGGTCGCATGACGGTGGCAGGGCAGGGGTCAGTCTGGAGAAAACGCAAAACAAACAGCGCCCCCTACCGTGAGGACGGTCTAATAGCAAGTCTTGAATCAAACAAAGCAATTGGATTCTTAGTCACTGGGTTTGTAGGGTTTTATATATATATATATATATATATATATATATATATATATATATATATATATATATATAATATATATATATATATATATATATATATAATTACGTAAATAAAAATCAAAAATGCCAACAGCCATCACCTTCTACAATAACTCTTTAATCAAATGAATTAGAACAATAAGTGGGTAGACTACCCAAAAAATTAAAGCATGCTTGTTCTTCATTCAGTGGGTAGAGACGCAAGAAATCTTCCTCTGGTAAGAGTACCAGTACTTCATAATAAAATTACTCAAGTAAAAGTAAAAAGTACAGTATAGAAAAAAATACTTCTAAAAGTAATTTTTTTCTAAAATGTTACTCAGGTAAATGTGATTTAGTAAATGTATCTAGTTACTACCGAACAGGTTACAACATTTAATTAATCAGTGCTTCTCTGTGTGAGTTTAGCACCATTTTCATTAATTTGAATGAATGGAATTAAAAGATGAGAAGACATGTTTTCAATAGTTGCATTGTTTATTTATCTTATTAGCCATCAGGTGAAGAAGGATATGCAAGCAGATTGGAATAGATAAATAAGAGTCAGATGTTATTAAAGAGTTTTAGCAATTAAACTGGTGCAGGATTAAGAGGAAAGGACTAAACGAAGTCAAATGATTCACTGTGACAAACCCTGAAGGGAAAGACCCAAAGAGAGAAAGAAGAAGTGAAGATAGTGAGAAAAACATGTTGGTGGAGCCCACACTCATGACATTTAAACACATCAGAAGCTTGAATCTAAAATAATTCTCAGACATTTTATATTGCTGAATTTTATTTTCAGCTTTTTTACCGTTTGATTTTCATTCAAATGTCAGAAAATTTTCATTTTACAAATAAAACATTCACAACCTTTTTCTGAAAACAGTCATAAATGTGTATTGATATTTTTGTACCGAGTCAAGTCTGATTTTATTGGTGAAAGTGAAGCTTAACTATCTTCTACCTTTCCCAGTTCCTTAGAAAATGAGCGCTTACTCTGAAAAAAAAGTTTATTTTTTTCCTTACTTTTCTTTTTTTCACCTCATTCCTGGGCTGTTTTTCCCGCTGCTGAGAACATTGAAGGGGCGGTCATGGAAAAGTTGCAGGATTGCAGGGATTCCTTGTTTACATACACCCGGAGCGCGTCGGGGTGGGAGGCTGGCTCCGCCCCCATTCTTCTGGGCTGACGTCATTGTCGCTTGGTGTTTTTTATGAATGAAAGAATCCAACCTCAGAGCGCAGCGGAGTAATTCCGGGAAAAGGCGGACTGACATTTTGTCGCCAGAGTCGCGTCGAATCAGCAGGTAAATTATCACTTGTTTATATCTAAATGTGGCGGTAAATGTTTAAATGTTGTGCTGTGACGCTGTTATTCGGTGATAATTACCGAGTATTGGAGGAATGCTGTCCACCGGACGGCTCGCCAAGTGAGCAGGCAGCTGTTCGGTTTAAACCGTCCATGCTAGCTGCTAACGGTTAACATTACTAGCATATTAAGAAATACTTACAAAGTTAGGCTCGCTTCCTCATTCGCATCTCTTCTCGCGTGTTATGGAACATAAACATATGCTTTCTACTAAACTATATGTTGTGTATTTCTTAACAGCCGCTCGGTAAGTTGTTTAAGCCCCAAATGTCCCGGGGACTCGTGATGGCTGTTTACTATAGCAGCGGCGCCCTGAGCTGCCAGCTCCTCTCCTGTACGGTTTACGGGTGGATTTCAAACACCTAATAACATGGTAAACAACATAATAATGAGCGCTGTGAGCTATGTGAAGCAGAATAATAAGAATAGTGGATACTAGAGGGTAGCATGGTTAAGAGTCGAGCAGGTTGGACCGTGCTGCGTTCACTTGTTGCTTCCATATTGTTATTTAAGTGCTTCATCTGCTCGCTCGGTGTTTTAATTAAAGCGGAGTATCGAGAGCTGGCTTCGCCTCGGAGCGGTGACTGCTGCCGGGCTTTGCTAGCTGGCAGCCCTGGCGGGGCTAAAGCAGAGGGCGTATTGCTGAATCACCCTGACTTTACAAAGAGGCGGTCCCCCGGTCCGCAGCCCGAGTCCTGCCCTGCGGCTCGGACACTTCTACCGCCGTGACCGCTCACTTCCTGCGCTTGTCGGGAACCGGAGCTGGTTGTCAGCAAACCTTCTGGCCCATGCAAAGGCGGTATTTCATCCAGCGTCAGTGGACCAGGCGCGGGGCCGCGGAGGAGCGGGAGGCTGGGCCCGGACAGGTGATCTGCCTGTTTCGTTCCCTCTCGTTGCCGTTTCGTGCCATTCTAGGGAAATTAAACCAAATGAAGACCTTACAGCATGTTTAAATGGGACTCCTAATTACGTAAACTTTTAAATATATATTTATTTTAAAAACAACAATGCTTATTCTGAGGTTAGAGCTTCTTCCTGTCAGTGAATCTGACTAAATGGTTTAGGGAACTACACAGTCCTGCTGTAGCAGGGCAGGCCTTTAAACTGGTGCTTTTAAATAGTTATGACATAAGGCGAAGAGGAAGTTCAGTGACTAAAAAATGAGTAAAATAAACAACAGCGTCTGTTTTTATGACAGGATTTCTGTTTGTCTTTAAAATAAACAGAATTTTACATTAAATGTAAGTTCTCCATTTTATAGCTGATCCAAATAATGAAAAATATGAAACATTATCTAACAGAACCATCTGTAACAAATGGCCACAAGGCCAAGCGGTCATTGAGTCGGTACATTTTAATAACCAACTTTTTTATTAATAGCTACAACAAAAATACGATAATTAGACATCATATCGGTTTAAACTTATGTCATACTTTGATAATTTAAAAATATGTTTTCCTGCTTACAAAAGGCTAAATAAATAGTTTTATGCAAATCAAAGGAAGTTACCCAAACAAGAAATTAACCACACTGCTTTATCTCTGTTGGTCCCAAACTCTTTAGTCATCGGCATTCATACTCTGACAGAACCAGAACCAGAACAGAACCAGCCGGGATTCACAAACTAAACTGACATGCTACATAAAAAGAAACACCTGGTCACCTCACTTCCATTTTTAACCGCTCTGTTATGACAAACCTTTCTGGACGATAAACTGTCCCAGAAATGATCACGAGAAACGATATGTTTGTTTTTGAGAATATTTAAGTATAATAATAGTAATAATGGCATAATAATGCAAGAACTCATTCTCAAAGATCCATAAACTTTAAATTTGTAATTAACTTAGCACTGAAAGACATTTTAAACATGCAAAATAAAACAAATAATCAAAACTTTAAGTACAGTTGATTAGAAAGCCTCTATATATGAAATTTCACCAGAATGGAAAAGATCTAACTCATTTTAATTAATCATGTGATGTAATTAATTGATTGCTTGTTAGAGACATGTAAACGTTTCAGTTTTTTATTAGTGATCATATTTTTGTTTTATTTTTGTCACTGTTGTGTTTATGTTTCTGGTCTGATTTGCTGTCTGAAGAAGATAATTGATTAGTTAATTAGATTGATTTAGTGAAGTCAACAGGATTTTCAGTCTGTGAAAAGTTACCTTAATGCTGCAGGGCAACCAGACCCACCCTAAAGTTTTCCTGTGCTGCTGAAACAAGACAAATGTTTCTTTTCTGTAGAGATAATTAGACATAATAATCCTCTGATGACATTTTCTATAAATGTGGCTCTGATCTGTTTGAGGCAGAAAAAAGTTTCTGACTTATGATGAAATCAAACACAACAAGCCAACTTCCTGAGGTTCTAAGTGACGGATGGTTGGTATGAAACGACCCGGGTCTGTTTCATACCTGGAAAACTCAGCCAGGACGGGGTGAGGGGCTCCAAGAAGTCTGTGATTTCCCAGCCTGGAGCCAGTCTGTGAACATCTCGTGTAATTCAAAAACGGCACAACAAAATCAGAAAAACCTAAAAAGCAGCGCGACATTTCAGAAGAGGCTGGGGGAACTGGAGCAGAGAAACTTCAAACGGCTCAAGACAAAATAACAGAATTTAACTGTAAGAAGGAGAAACTGAACAACCGCAGCCTGAAAAAGTGAAGTGACGACAAACAGCAACACAGACACAAAATCAGCTGAAATTCAAGACAATTTATATTCATATAAAAATGGATACAAAGAAACCTGAAATATACGCATTTAATAAAAACCAGGAGGAGAAAATATTCCCTGTTGCCAAATTCCACTTAAATAATTAAATAGGAAAGTCAGTTTTCCCTCAAACACAAACATGGCCGCGCTGTGTTTAATCACCGTGGAAACACACCAGTAGTTTCCATTTTTCAACACTTTTCTCTCAAAGCTTCAACGCGCACGCAGCAATTACTTTATCAGCTGTACAACAGAATTAATCAGCTTTGCATTTATTTTGTAAATCAGTCTTGTGGGCCCCACAAAGAGAGACCCGGGTGCCGCCGGTGGTCCACTCCCCAGCGTTTGAGAACCTGAACAGTAGAAACTCGTGTTGCCTTGATGTATTGCTGCGTTGCACTAATCCTCCAGTATTGTGAGCCCTAAATACACCAAAGCTGTTACTACTATGCAGATTTTATGCAAGCTGGATTTAGATTGTGTAACCAAGTCTGGTCGTGGTGCATTCAAGTGCTACTCCGACATTTTAAAACTGTTTCTAGTTTAATGTCAAAGAAAAGAAGGTAAAAACTTTTAATCAGAAATTAAAGTTTCTAATTTCCTGGTCGGATTATCCTGTTGGACACTCAGACATTTTCTCAAATCCAACATGGCAGCTTTTCATTTGAACCACAGGAAATCGTTTCAAACTGGGTTTATTTCTCGATCAGGGAAAAGTGTTTAACAAATCTGCTGTTGTTCGCTTATGTTGCTGATAGCAGTTAGCAATCTGAACGAGAAACAACTTTATTGTCCAAAAACATGACAAAACAAAGAATTTCAGAAAACAGACATAAAATACAATAATATTCTAATAGATTAGAATATTACTGAAAAGTCTGTTTATTCCAGGAACTTCATCACTAAATGAATCACATTATGTAGATCAATCACACCAGTCTGGTGATTTTCCACTTCAAAATTAGAATATTACATCAAAGACATAAAAAAACTATTATTGGTTTAATGAAAAGAATGTTTAAGGACCGGAGTCGGGTTGAAGTGGATCGGAGTCGGGTTGAAGCGGACCGGAGTCGGGTTGAAGCGGACCGGAGTCGGGTTGAAGTGGATCGGAGTCGGGTTGAAGTGGATCGGAGTCGGGTTGAAGCGGACCGGAGTCGGGTTGAAGTGGATCGGAGTCGGGTTGAAGCGGACCGGAGTCGGGTTGAAGTGGATCGGAGTCGGGTTGAAGCGGACCGGAGTCGGGTTGAAGTGGATCGGAGTCGGGTTGAAGCGGATCGGAGTCGGGTTGAAGCGGATCGGAGTCGGGTTAAAGCGGACTGGAGTCAGGTTAAAGCGGACTGGAGTCGGGTTGAAGTGGATCGGAGTCGGGTTGAAGCGGACCGGAGTCGGGTTAAAGCGGACTGGAGTCGGGTTGAAGTGGACTGGAGTCAGGTTAAAGCGGACTGGAGTCGGGTTGAAGTGGTCAGGTTAAAGCGGACTGGAGTCGGGTTGAAGTGGATCGGAGTCGGGTTGAAGTGGATCGGAGTCGGGTTGAAGTGGATCGGAGTCGGGTTGAAGCGGATCGGAGTCGGGTTGAAGTGGATCGGAGTCAGGTTGAAGCGGATCGGAGTCGGGTTGAAGTGGATCGGAGTCAGGTTAAAGCGGACCGGAGTCAGGTTAAAGCGGACTGGAGTCGGGTTGAAGCGGATCGGAGTCGGGTTGAAGCGGACCGGAGTCAGGTTAAAGCGGACTGGAGTCGGGTTGAAGTGGATCGGAGTCGGGTTGAAGTGGATCGGAGTCGGGTTGAAGTGGATCGGAGTCAGGTTGAAGCGGATCGGAGTCGGGTTGAAGCAGCTTATTTATATACATTTTTCTGACAAAAATAGTAACATTTCTGGCTATACGTTGTACTCTGCATGTCAGGCCTTTTAAAGATCAGTGATGAAGCAGAAAACTGCAGTCGGTGGAATAAAGCTCAGTTCTTTCTGAATTTAAAGTTTTCTGCAAAGATTAAATATAGAATATTATAAAATATATGTTGGCCCAGAAAATGGGCTCTGATTTCTCTCCATGTCAATAATCACCACACTGTCGCCAAATCAGCAACTTTCTTGCAACATTTTGGAAGAAATAAATCAGTATTAGCCAAAATCAAAATTGTTGATCAGAAAACTGCAATGGTTGCTCTTCTAATATAAAATGATGTGATATTGTTACTGAACTGCAGCCTGTGATTCACTGGGTTTAGTCATGTTTGGACATCGTGATGCTGACTGATTCACAGAACATCATGACAAGGTCCTGAGGTCGGGTTCAGTGGGACCGGCCCGTTTCTTCCTCCAAACATGAGGACTAGAAAGCCTCATCTGGAGGAAAACACGGAGGAAGGACGATCACTTTCCACAGAGAAAAATCCCGTGTTGCGAAAAATGAGAAAGTTTTCTGTGACTCTGCAGAAGCAGGTCGGGGAAAAACCCCGAGCCGCTTCGCCTGGTTCCAGCCGCTCTGGCTTCTTCTCTCTATGCTTTTATTTCCTTTTCCTTCATCTAATTCACTTTGTCTAAAGTAGTTTCTATTAGTTCAGTATTGTTTAGTTTCAGTTTAGCTTTTATTGGTTGAATATTGTTTAGTGTGTATTGGTTATTGTAGTAGTTCCAGTTTTTTAATTTTTAGGTGCAAAATTCAAAAGGTCAGAGTTTATCATGTTTACATTAATTTGGGTCATAAATACTCAGCAGAAATTAATATTTTAAAAACTGTAAATTATTGTTGAATAACAGGGTGACTGACGTTTTATCCCAACATTTTACCGACTGGCTTCGCGCCGTCAGGTTGGTGATGGAGCAGAAACTGCTTTTTAAAAATCATTCACGTCATTTTGGAAGGCTAATAAATGATTCATGAACATGAAAATAAAGACATTATGTCAATATTTCTGTATGTTTTAGTTATCTAAACATACGATTCAGTTCCAGTCATAGTTTTTCCTCATTAATTACCGTTTTATTTATTTTGGTTAATGAAGATGCTTCTTGTCATATTTTGTCGTTCTTGTTCAACGATAATAACCTCGGTATCATTCCTGCGCGCTTTAGCTTTTCATGCTGCGTTCGGGTCGGATTGGCGGCGAACCAGAACCAGAATCGATGTGAAAGTGATCTGGAGCACCACAGAGCAGCGGGGGAAACGGCCCAATCAGAGGTCAGGCTGCTGACCCCGAGCTCAACGCTCCGCTCCAGTTCCACTCCAGCTCCGCTCCAGCTTTTTCCCACTCGCCTTTGTCCCTCAGTGAAACTTTGGGCCGTTGATGTTGACAAGAGGAAGTGTTGAGCGAACTGGTTGGGACACCTGCCTTTGAGCAACCGAACGCCAGACACACTCGATATAACTTCCCCTCGCCATTCCAGCAAATAGAAATACAGGCGGCCAGGTTTTCAGAACCTCCTCTTCCTCCCGTATCAAACCGCAGCGCTTAATGACAGAGCGGGTTTGGAGAAGCATGAAAGCGCTGCGGGTTCTCCTTTTCTTCGCAGCGTGTGCATGAGCGGCCGTCTTGTGAGCGGATGGAAAATGTCACGCCAGAAACAAGCCAAAAACAGCGAATGCCTGAATCACATGAGGAGCCAGAAAGTTTTAACTCAGTTCTTTTTATTCTTCCACAGAGTCTGAATCTGTTTGAAGAGCCGAAGAAAATCGGATCATGACGACAGAGAGGAGCAACAAAGCCCTGAAGGTAAAACGCTGGCAGGAGAAACGTAATGAATCATGTTTATGACCCGACAGAACAGCAAGCCGACAGCTGGCACGGTACCGGCACAGCCGCAGACCAGCAACAGAAACACTCAGGCATGAGCAGCAGCTGCTCTGGAGGAGCTGCAGAGATCCACAGCCAGAAGCTGCTACGCTCACCCAGCAGGAGAACCCGACCAAAATCTCCAAAAATATTTGACCCGATCCAGGAAAGCACCGATCCACTGCGATCGGTACCGGTACCGGCTTACTGTCGACTGAAACAACCTAAAACGTTTGTTTCTTTTTAAACAGACAGATTTGCAAACCTAAACCCAGCAAAGCTTCACCAGCTGCTCAAACATGTGAAAACAACTCGAAGCTGTTCAGTCACTGCAGTCAGAAAGAACCAAACGGACAGAAACAGCAGGTTGACTGCAGGAATGCTAAAAATATGTCAAATAATTAATGAAGCATAGAAATAGACTGAATTGATCAGGCACATTGTCAGATATTGAGTCTAGATTCATTTTTTAAATATCGGGCCGATACGGAGACCAGTATGGGATCGGTGCATCGTTCCCAGAGCGACTGATCGGCCATGTTGGATTCTGTTTGATTCTTCATCTTAATGTTGAACAAAATGAAACCGAGCTTCACTGCCTGGTTTACATCAAAGCTGATTCATGGGTTAGAATGGCCTAGTCAAAGTCCAGACCTAAGAAAAAACTAAATATGCAGAATGACTAGATATTGTCCATCCAGTCTGACAAAGCTTTAGCTTTTCATGAAGCAGTTCAGTCGTAAAACTCTCTGAGGTTTGTGGTTCTAATGTGGCAACAATCCAAAAAGTTTCATGTTTTTGTTGTTAAATGTGCTTCGATGTGAAGAGATCGATCTCCTCCCTCCTTCGAAGAAATGAACCAGAAACAACCAGAAGGCGGGGCTTAGTGCTGTCAATCACTATCATGTATTTGCTTCTAAATGCACTAATGGCAGCAAAACAGCTCACCGTTACAGGAAGACAGGAAGTTTATCTGCTATTGTCACACTAACTAGCACACACAAACTTGTTGTCATAGCAACTTACTAGAACAACGCTGCTATTAGCTAAGCTAACACAGCCGTGGCAGATTAGCTAATTTAACTTCCTGCTCTACTTTTGTTTGTCAGTTGGTGTTTGGATTAAAATTTTTAAAAATGTAACTGAACCCAAACACCAAATTCCACAGCACACCTACATCTTACAGATGTCAAAGTCAAGCTAGCTAGCTAGCATAGCTAACCTACTTCCTTTGCTGTTTTTTTCTCTTCCTATCTAGTTGTAGTAATGTTGACAATTAGTGGCAAAGAACTTTTTCTTTTGCAGGTCACATGTACATTTACGATTTAGAGCAGGATGCTAAGAACCTGATAGCTAAAACCAATGCTCGTCGTCATTAGCAAGCTGTTTCTAGAGGTCACTAAAGGTCACCGACCGTCCTGCTCTGTGTCCCCGCCAGGTGAAGCAGGAGTGCGGGGAGAACGTTCCCTTCCTGTCGGACAGCGAGCTGATGTCGCTCTCCGTGCGGGAGCTGAACCTCCACCTGCGGGGCCTCTCCCGCGAGGAGATCCAGAAGCTGAAGCAGCGCCGGCGGACCCTGAAGAACCGCGGCTACGCAGCCAGCTGCCGCGTCAAGCGCGTCTCCCAGCGGGAGGCGCTGGAGCAGCAGAAGATGGAGCTGCAGAGGGAGGTGGAGCGGCTCGGCGCCGAGAACGCCGGAATGAGGAAGGAGCTGGAGGGGCTGGGCGCGCGGCTGGCCGCCCTGCAGCGGTTCGCCCGCGGCCTGGAGGCCGGCGGCGGCACGCTGCTGGCCACGGCGCCGCGCCTCAACACCGCCTCCGTCATCACCATCGTCAAGAGTCCGCAGCAGCCGCAGCAACAGAGAGAGCAGGAGCCGTCCTAGGGCAACCGGAACCAGAACCAGAACCCGGGGACGCGAGGGGGCGGGGTCAGGTGGTCTGCAATGCAAACACACACAGAGGCGTGGAAATTCAGAACAAACACACAGGATGCACTGACTGGATCAGTAGGACAATACTAAACATGCTGTCTGCACCTTTTTCACGTTAAGCGGAAGTGATTTACCTCAGTGCAGTAAAGTGTGCGTCGTTGCCTAGCAACAGCAGCTTAGCTGTTCTATCCAGGAGCAGAAAGTCACCTGTCCTCGCTGCACCTGAACCGGACCGACCCAGAGTTACTGTACCGCATTGCTGCTGACAGGAAGTGGGCGGTTCCTCAGCGCAAACTCTGATTGGCTCGATCCAGCAACAGAAACTGCAACTGTCGATCCAATACCAAGTAAATACCGGGCCAAGGTACCGGTACCGATAGTTTCTGTTACCATCAGCTGTTTTTGTTGTTTTACATTTGAATTATGTCATTAAAAGTCAAGACAGAATTTGGACAAAATGTAAATTTGTCTACAAAATACTTTCATAATATATTATGAACAGAAACAGTATGAAACAAAATAACTTTGTGCTTTTCCCCAAAACAATGTGCAAAATATTAGAATTTGAAAACAAATCACAACAAAATTTTATTTGAGAAACTACAATAAACAACATTTCAACAAGAAATTTGAAACTAAAGCATCGATATTATTGATATTTTGGACCGATCTGCTCACCTGCTGCTTTAAATATGTTTTAAATAATTTTTGTTTTATTTCTGTACTATTTTTTAACTACTTATTCCAGTTTCACTTTATTTCAGAAATCAGAACGGATTTTGTTTATGTGTCACAGCAACTTTAGGACTAAAAATCACTGTCCATTTTTATTTATATATGCTGAAGCTCTTATTTTGAAATTAGACCAGAAGACTTAATTCCAATCACAGAGAAGTAAGCTAGCGATCGCTAAGCTAAAGTCAAAAGAACGTGAAATGACACTTTAATTTCGTCCAATCAGGTGAGCCCTTTGTTTTTTGGAAACACCTACTTCCTGTCTGAAGTTCTGGGTTCTGTCACATTCTGATCCCACCCTCCAGAGTAGCAGTGGATATTAGCTTAGCATTAAAGATGCGCCTGGAAGTCTTCCTGGGTTTCCTTCCCCCGCTGTCCTCCTCCATCATGGCGGCCATCAACGCAGTGCCTTCGGTTCACGCAGAACCCAAACAAAGAAAAGCAGAAGCTATCCACTCCTCCTTTCCTGTTTTAGAGCCGTGGCACTTTCAGAATGACTGCTGTGGATTTTCTAGGTTTTCAGGCCTACAACACACACACACACACACACACAAACATCAATCATTTCATAAATGTGCAGTAACTTGGGTTCAGTCAGTTCAGTTTCAGTACTAACAGACTTTATCTCCTGCTTGGTTCGGACCCGGGTCACTCCTTCTCGCCTCAATGCAAATCCTCTGAAACATTCCAGTTTTGTGTTATTTGTAACGTCTGTATGTGCTGCAGAGACGAAAATGTTGAGTGACATTTTTAAGAGATATATATTCTATATTTTATTTGTATTTAAAGGTAGATATTCTGAAAAGACAAGCTAACGAGTGCTGTGATGTTCTACATGTTTTCAAAAGTACTTATGACTAGTCTGAGAAGATTCTCATGTCTAATTATTATTACTGTGTTTGTGGCGACAAAGATTACAAAACGTTAATGATTAGCTGCGTAGAAATACTCAAAGCCAATGGCCATATTGATGTATGATTATTTTTCTGTGTGTTTGTGTTTTATTCCCATATTTGTACCAGCTTGTCGCAGCAGATTCCAGGAGGGACATTTATTTTTCTACGATGATTGTTTAAAAAAAGAAGAAGAAGAAGAAAATCTGGGGAGGCAGAAAGCTAAAGAAAGATGGCAGAAGAGATGGAAACAGAAAGTAGAGGCTGGAAGAGAAAGTGCAGAGAGGACGGCTGGTTGACTTGAAATGTTTAGGCCACTGAATATTCATAGCAATATAGATATGAGTAGGAATTATAACACCAACCATGCTGCAGAGTAAGACATGTTTAGCTAAGTATGAGCATTTATTCCCGATATCTTAACGTTCTTCCAATCTTGCTGGATGTTTTGTAATACCTGCAAAACAAAAATGGTATTTGTATTTATTACCTGTATTTTTTCTATTGTGAAAATTTAAGTACATTGTCTATTTTATATATTAATTATAATAAATGTTGTACATATTGTACATAAAACAGCTGATTGTGGGACTTGTTTTTGGAGTATTAATGCAGAATATTAGAATTTATCTACTGTCAGATTTTAAGTACAAAAACAAGAAGGAAACAGAAGAAGGAAATATTTTAATTTATGGAGATGTAGTTGAGGCAGAAACAACTTCAGGTCAGCAGGGGTTCAATGCCTTGCCCAACAGCACATCAGCATGAGGCAAGAGGAGAGAAAGGCTGAATGGACAGCTGGAAAAAATAACAAGGAAGGAAAAACAAGAAATCAGAAGGAAAATCAAAATTAACTAGAAAATTCCTGAAGAAATTTAACCGGGAACTGCCAAAGTGTGCCCGTCGGTTTGGACCCAGCGTTCTGATGCTAAACTTTAGCATCAGTTTAGCTAATGTTTAGCTAAATGAGTCACAAGCATGTTGACCAACTTGGACTTGAACCATTCAGGATGTTAGAGTATAAGCTAAAATTAGCGTAAATGCTAATGTTAGCCCAAATGCTATCATTAGCATGTTGTCTAACATTGACTTGCTACATTCAGTGTCCTAAACATGGCTAATAAGTTGGAAAATAGCTAAAAGCTTCTTTTAGGGAAAAGCTGGTGCATTAGCCTTTGTTTTAGGGAAATAAAAGGGAAAAGTCATGATGGATGAAAAGTTTGGATAAAGTTTCTTTTGAATATTTAAACCAAACCTTGAAAATCCTTAGAATGATCTCCAGGTTTTTCCAGGCTCAGCAGGAATCCTGGCGCCATCTTAATTCCAGCGGTTCAGAGAAGAAGAAGAACTGGTTTGCGCTCCAAACTGGTTCCTTTCAGGTTTCACTGGGAACCTCAATCTGCTGAGTCATCCTTTCTCAACGCTGGAAACGTGCCGATTACGTCAAAACGTCCAGGATCAACAACGTTTTCGCCTCAATTCAAACCCAATAAGCTTTTATTTTCTTCATCCGTTCATCAACAACAACTGAAACAACTAAAAACAAAGTTACTCAAATAAAAACACAGAGGAATCAGGTTAACATCTGAGATTTTGTCTGGACTGAACACACGTCACCAAAACAAGCATTAAAAAGCCTTATCATGGTCCTAAACAGGCAGCGCGCACCCTGGTGGCCGCGGCCTGAACTACAGCGCTGCAGTGAAAGTACCAAGTAAACAAGTTGGCATTTTCACCATGACTCACCCAGATCACTCAACAAGACCAATCATGAGCAAAAAACAGAAAGAGCAGCTGCTTGTGGCGAGATCTAAACAAAAACCACATGAAAAGCTCCAGAGGGAGAGAAAAAGTGCTTCCAAATGGAAGAAAAACAGGAAATTAAACTTTATGTTCACTTTTTAACCAAGTTTGTTTCAGGGCTGACTGTTAGTTACAGAAACAACAAAAATAAAAAACGATGTTGCAAAGCTGACCAGCAGAGTGTTAAACATTTAAACTATTAACCTCCAGAAGAAATCAGTGAATATTTCCAGTTTCTGGATCTTTTGGGTTCAGAGTCGCTGCTTTTCCTGCATTAAAGCTCAGAAATAATAAGAATCCAAAGATAAAAACCACCATCAATCATAGCTACAGTGACCTTTGACCCAGTCATCAAACTGGTGTGAATATCAATGATCCGGATCAATACTGGCGTCGGCTGCATTGATCCAGAAGCAGCAGGGAGTCGATCTGCATTTATAAACCAAATCATTTAAACTAAATTAAGTTAAATGTCACGTTTTAAGACACTCAGTATTCAAGATAAAATCATCTTAAATATTTAGATTTAAGAGCAGGGAACAGGAATCAAAGTTTTCTGACCGATCATCAATCTTTACCACCTGACAATTTTCACCCATTCCGATTTTTTATCTGAAAACTTGATAAATATAGTAAGAAAAATCGCTAAGTGACAGCAGGAAGCGTTGGACTCTAGAACTCGTCATCTGAGCTGAGCGCGGTGGTGGCAGCGGTGGTACGTTCAATGAGAAGTTGTGGATGGCGTCCTGGACCATGTCGCCGGGACTCATCGTCTCCTTCTGGCTGCTGGAGATGCTCTTCATCGGGGCGCAGCGACCTGAAGAAGAGGAGGAAGAGTCAGTGGATCAAACTAATTCACTTCAATGAAAACAAGAGGAAACATAAAACACAGAAGTAAAATAACCAAAAGTTTTAAATAAACAAATTGTTAAAATTTGTTGGATGTCTGGTTGGATGAATGGTTGGATGAATGGTTGGATGAATGGTTGGATGTCTGGTTGGATGAATGGTTGGATGAATGGTTGGATGTCTGGTTGTATGAATGGTTGGATGAATGGTTGGATGTCTGGTTGTATGAATGGTTGGATGAATGGTTGGATGAATGGTTGGATGTCTGGTTGTATGAATGGTTGGATGAATGGTTGGATGAATGGTTGGATGTCTGGTTGGATGAATGGTTGGATGAATGTTGGATGTCTGGTTGGATGAATGGTTGGATGAATGGTTGGATATCTGGTTGGATGAATGGTTGGATGTCTGGTTGGATGAATGGTTGGATGAATGGTTGGATATCTGGTTGGATGAATGGTTGGATGAATGGTTGGATGAATGGTTGGATGTCTGGTTGGATGTCTGGTTGGATGAATGGTTGGATGAATGGTTGGATGTCTGGCTGGATGAATGGTTGGATGAATGGTTGGATGTCTGGTTGGATGTCTGGTTGGATGAATGGTTGGATGTCTGGTTGGATGAATGGTTGGATGTCTGGTTGGATGAATGGTTGGATGAATGGTTGGATGTCTGGATGGATGAATGGTTGGATGTCTGGATGGATGAATGGTTGGATGTCTGGATGGATGAATGGTTGGATGTCTGGTTGGATGAATGGTTGGATGAATGGTTGGATGTCTGGATGGATGAATGGTTGGATGTCTGGTTGGATGTCTGGTCGGATGTCTGGTTGGATGAATGGTTGGATGAATGGTTGGATGAATGGTTGGATGAATGGTTGGATATCTGGTTGGATGAATGGTTGGATGAATGGTTGGATGAATGGTTGGATGAATGGTTGGATGAATGGTTGGATGTCTGGTCGGATGTCTGGATGGATGAATGGTTGGATGAATGGTTGGATGAATGGTTGGATGTCTGGTTGGATGAATGGTTGGATGTCTGGTTGGATGAATGGTTGGATGAATGGTTGGATGTCTGGTTGGATATCTGGTTGGATGAATGGTTGGATGAATGGTTGGATGAATGGTTGGATGAATGGTTGTATGTCTGGTTGAATGTCTGGTTGGATGAATGGTTGGATGAATGGTTGGATGTCTGGCTGGATGAATGGTTGGATGAATGGTTGGATGTCTGGTTGGATGTCTGGTTGGATGAATGGTTGGATGTCTGGTTGGATGAATGGTTGGATGTCTGGTTGGATGAATGGTTGAATGAATGGTTGGATGTCTGGATGGATGAATGGTTGGATGTCTGGATGGATGAATGGTTGGATGAATGGTTGGATGTCTGGATGGATGAATGGTTGGATGTCTGGTTGGATGAATGGTTGGATGTCTGGTTGGATGAATGGTTGGATGAATGGTTGGATGTCTGGATGGATGAATGGTTGGATGTCTGGTTGGATGTCTGGTCGGATGTCTGGTTGGATGAATGGTTGGATGTCTGGTTGGATGAATGGTTGGATGAATGGTTGGATGTCTGGTTGGATGAATGGTTGGATGAATGGTTGGATGAATGGTTGGATGAATGGTTGGATGAATGGTTGGATGTCTGGTTGGATGTCTGGTTGGATGTCTGGTTGGATGAATGGTTGGATGAATGGTTGGATGTCTGGTTGGATGTCTGGTTGGATGAATGGTTGGATGTCTGGTTGGATGTCTGGTTGGATGAATGGTTGGATCAATGGATGGATGAATGGTTGGATATCTGGTTGGATGAATGGTTGGATGAATGGTTGGATGTCTGGATGGATGAATGGTTGGATGTCTGGATGGATGTCTGGTTGGATGAATGGTTGGATGTCTGGTTGGATGAATGGTTGGATGAATGGTTGGATGTCTGGTTGGATGAATGGTTGGATGTCTGGTTGGATGAATGGTTGGATGAATGGTTGGATGAATGGTTGGATGAATGGTTGGATGAATGGTTGGATGTCTGGTTGGATGAATGGTTGGATGTCTGGTTGGATGAATGGTTGGATGAATGGTTGGATGTCTGGATGGATGAATGGTTGGATGTCTGGATGGATGAATGGTTGGATGAATGGTTGGATGTCTGGATGGATGAATGGTTGGATGTCTGGTTGGATGAATGGTTGGATGTCTGGTTGGATGAATGGTTGGATGAATGGTTGGATGTCTGGATGGATGAATGGTTGGATGTCTGGTTGGATGTCTGGTTGGATGAATGGTTGGATGAATGGTTGGATGTCTGGTTGGATGAATGGTTGGATGAATGGTTGGATGTCTGGTTGGATGTCTGGTTGGATGAATGGTTGGATGTCTGGTTGGATGAATGGTTGGATGAATGGTTGGATGTCTGGTTGGATGAATGGTTGGATGTCTGGTTGGATGAATGGTTGGATGAATGGTTGGATGAATGGTTGGATGTCTGGTTGGATGAATGGTTGGATGTCTGGTTGGATGAATGGTTGGATGAATGGTTGGATGAATGGTTGGATGTCTGGTTGGATGAATGGTTGGATGTCTGGTTGGATGAATGGTTGGATGAATGGTTGGATGTCTGGATGGATGAATGGTTGGATGTCTGGATGGATGAATGGTTGAATGAATGGTTGGATGTCTGGATGGATGAATGGTTGGATGTCTGGTTGGATGAATGGTTGGATGTCTGGTTGGATGAATGGTTGGATGAATGGTTGGATGTCTGGATGGATGAATGGTTGGATGTCTGGTTGGATGTCTGGTCGGATGTCTGGTTGGATGAATGGTTGGATGAATGGTTGGATGAATGGTTGGATGAATGGTTGGATGTCTGGTTGGATGAATGGTTGGATGAATGGTTGGATGAATGGTTGGATGT